CACAATTTTAATAAGAGACCCGAGAGGATTTAGAATACCGTGTTTAGCCCTTTTCGATGGTAGTAGTTGCTTTAATTTTTCAATTGTTATATTTGGAATATAATCTATTCGAATTTTTAAATTATTTATTTCAGCGTTAATTATTCTTTTACCAAAATAACGTGACATATGTGTATTCAGGTTATCGTATCGATTCTTATTCAATTCTAGATCCTCACGTATTAAGCTTAAGTGTAATATCTTAACTAAAGACCACTTATCGTTACTAATGAGAGCTTGTCCCTCTGAGAGCTAAAGACCTGCAGCAGGAACAGGGTGAACCTGTGGAGGACGTTTTGAATCCTTAATTGGGGCCCTTGTATTTTGACCGTGATACTTAATTGGTACTGTGTTTCTAACTATATCTCCTATGACCTCTGCTTTTTCATAGCACGCTTTATCTTTACTTCTCCTAACATTTGTGCCCTTTATAAATATTGTGTCCCCTGTTTTAATGTTAAATTCCTTCTCACCTCCTCTTTTTTCTTTAATACGTTGTTTCTTATCAATGGCCTTATTAGTTAAAAATTCATATATGTATTGAGTTCGTCGTTTATGTTCTTGTAATAATTTTTTTGTGTAATTTTTGTTAAATTCAATGTCAAAAGTACTTGAGGAGTCAGTATGACCGTACACTACTTCGAAAGGCGTAAGGCCTGTTGTTGAGTGTATCGTTTGGTTATACGACATGATGGCATATGTCATTACAGATGCGGCATCTGTAATTTTTCTTTCACATTTCGCTAAGCGATATATTTCTAATAGGGTGGAGTGGAAACGTTCGACATATGCCATGGAATTCGGATTATGAGGAGTGCCTATATGCAAATCTATTTTGTAAAACTAAGGGTTTCTTTCATTAGTACGTTATTAAATTCGGTTCCGGAATCCGCACTTCCTCTATGTGGTAAGCCATACATAGAGAAGTATTTAATAAGAGCTCTAATTATTTCTGGAGTTGACCTATTGTTTATTTCGATTGCTTGTCCAAGCTTACTAAAGGTATCGATGATTGTTAAATAGGATTTTCCTTCTACAGTAAAAACATCGATAAAGATTTCCTGAAATGGTTTGTTTTTAGTTTGGGTTAACTGAAGTTCAGGTTTTAAAGGTTTGCGGTCATATTTCGTGCGCTTACACACCTCATAAGAGTTTATGAATGTGGCTACTGTTAGGTTCATATTGTTCCAGAAGTAAGTACGTTTTAAGTGTATTATTGTCTCTTTTATACCGCTATGACATGTTTTACCAATATGATATTTTTTTATTATTTCACGCTGCTCATTCTCATCCTCTACATAGACTACCCTTCGCTTGCATTCAAAGATCTTAACTGTACCCTTTTTAAATAACTCAATTACAGCCTCTGCAAATTGTTTTCGATGTGCGTCGTTCACAAAGTAAATGAATTGTTTTATTTTAGGTGTAATGTACTCCTTTAAAAATTGTTTTACTAGGTTGGGTCTATTTAGGGGAATATGAACTTCGAGTATCTTTTGTTTTTGCCTCGATAAATTCTTAACGGATATTTCGTCCCTATACCACGTAAAAATAAATATTTGATGAGGTTTAGTATCTATGGCTTTCTCTAGAATTGAAATACCATCGGTATCTATTTCATGTGCTGAATGTTTTGTAAAAGTGTGTGAGTTCTCAAACGTTTCAGGTGCTGAAATGGTACTACTTGTAGGTGATGGTATTGATTACGGTGATTTATTGCTCTTAGCGGATGAGATAGTCCTCTCCGTATCTGATGATATTTCCATCGGGCTTGTGTCCTTATTTCATAATCTTTTGATTTCTTCGATTAAGCTGTCTATGTGTTTTTGCAGTTGTTCATGCTTATCCATGTTAACCTTCATTGATTTTTGGTCTTTTCCCAGTGCGTTTACCTTGACACGGTATAAGGCGTCGGCAACGAAATTTCGTTTCCCATTTTTATAAACGATGTCATAATCGAACTCAGCAAGCCGCAACTTCCATTCCAAATTCAATTCAATTCAAATTCCAAAGGTCTATGATCTGTGAAAATGGTAAATTTTCGGTCATATAGGTAAGGTCTAAATGTTTTTACGGCCCACACACTCGACTCGTTGGAGTCAGTATGGCCGTATGAGCGCAAATCGTTATCTATCGGTAATAATAGGCAAATAGTTATATTTAATTGGTATCCATATTGTCATCTATCGGTAATAATTGACAAATATTTATATTTATGTTTTAGTTTGTCGTTTACGTGAATTTATTATAATTTGGGGTATCTATATAATTTACTCACCTGGTTGGGTTCTATAAATATATAATTATAAATTAAAATGAAAAGATAAATGTACATAAATATCAATAAAATAAAATAAATACAAAAACTACATAAATAAATAAGATCCAACCAGATGGGAGCCCTCGGCAGTGGAGAACAAACGCCCGAGGGTTAGGGGGAAAGGGAAAGAAACCGGCGGACGATGCGGGCGGTATCGAGGAGCACCTCCTTCTGCATTTGAGCCCGGAGCGCTCCGTCACGGAGTCCCAGTCGCCTCAGATGAGCCGAGAGAATGACTGGGATTAGCCCATTCGCAGAGACGACTACAGGAATAATTTCGGTCGGCATACCACCCCACATGTCGGTCACCTCGTGAGCCAGGTCCAGATATTTTGTTCGTTTATCTGTTTCGGCTTTCACGAGGTTCTCGTCATACGGAATGGTAATGTCGATCAAAAATATCCTTGACTGTGTCCGGTCCATCAGCACAATATCAGGCTTATTCGCAAGAATAGTCCTGTCTGTGACGATGGCCCGGTCCCAGTAGAGCCTGGCGGCGCGGTCATTTTCGAGCACGGCTTCCGACAAGTACTTGTAATACGGCAATTTTCGGTCCACGAGACCGTATTTCAGAGCGAGCTCCTGGTGTAGAATTCTGGCTACTAGGTTGTGCCTGTGCAAGTACTCAGAGTTAGAAAGCGCCGAACAACCGGAGATGATATGCCTAAGTGACTCCCCGGGATGGCGACAAGCTCGACAGACGTCGACAGTGCCATCCTTTAGGATGTATCTCCGATAGTTGTTGGTCTTAATAACCTGATCCTGTATTGCACAGACAAAACCCTCGGTTACCCCGAAAAGGTCACAGAAACGTAGCCAGTTGAGGGAGGCGGCTATATCTACGTGAGACTCATGTAGAGCCCTGTAGTAGTACCTCCCATGGAGCTCCTTCTCCTTTCATACGGTCTCCCGGTCGGAAATGCTCTGTACTGCCGGGTCTTGCCATTGCTCGTTGGCTAAGGATAAAGGGGTAAGTCCTTTATCACTAGAAATAACGTCATTATAGAATGGATCATCCGATCTCACCAGGAAGTAATGACGGAGGCTGCACACTTCGCGATTATGCATGGTGAGCGCGCTCAGGAAGCCACGCCCACCATGCTTTCGCGGCAAGTACAGCCTCATTACCGACGATCTCGGATGATGCATCCTATGGGACGTCATTGTAGTGCGGACTTTTCTATCCAGGGCGTTAAGTTCAGTCTGACTCCACCTGAGTATGCCAAAGGTATACATGAGGACATGCATGACCCAACTGTTATATGCATGTGTCTTATTCACACCGGACAAAAGGCTGTTAAGCACTTTGGTCAATCGTGCATAAAATACGTCACAAACTGTTTCATACCAGCCTCATCGATACCGATGTTCTGTGACATACCCATGTATCGGTATGTTTCAGCCTCGGAAAGGGCCCTTAAGTTGACGGGCATAGATAAGTCTATGCCCTCAGAGTTAGCGACCCCTTCCCCTTTCAACATGGAGGACCGCACACTTATCCGTCCCCAGCTCCATTCTAATAGAAGTGATGTTTAGCAATTCCATAAGATGGGAGCGACTGGAGGCGAATAATTTGAGATCATCCATAGAGAAAAGGTGGCTCACTTTTGTACCTCCTTTCCGAAGCTGAAATCCCGGAGCCCTCCAGTAAGGTACTGAGAGGGTTCAAAGAGAGGCAGAACCAGATTGGACTCAGACAGTCGCCCTGGAATATACCCCTTCTTATCCTTATGCGGCTTTCCGCAGCCGTCATCCGCTCGCCTAGATGACAGAGGATCGTACTCCACTGCCCCATACACTGCTCGAGGAAGTCTCGAACTGTACAGTCAATCTTGTACAGCTCGAGGACCCTCTTTGGCCTGATAGGGAGAACCGAGTCAAATGCCTTTCTGTAATCTATCCAAGCAGCGGAGAATTTCCGACGGTTGCGTTTCACCACTTTGCCAATGACCGCGTCAATGAGGAGTGGTTCCTTGGTTCCACGACCGCCGCCCCGACATCCATTTTGAGCGCGCGACATCACCTGATTTGAGTCCAGGTGACGAGCGATTCTCGCGCTCAAAATGGATGTTAGTGTCTTGTATATGGTCGGTAGACACGTGATGAGGTGGTATTTGCTCGGGTCTGTGGTATCCTGATCTTTAGGAACCAAATGAGTGATTCCAGTAGTGAAGAGGCTTGGGAGCGACTTCTGGTTGAGAGCCTCTTGAAACTGTCGAGCGAGCACAGCGTGACACACCATGAACCCCTTCAGCCAGTATTGATGCTGCCCGTCATGCCCCGGACTTTTCCAGTTCGGGGCCCTACGGACCGCCTCAGCTACGTCATCCGGCGTTATGATGACGGGGTCCATGGGCGTAATAGCCGCACACTGACTCGCCACAACTTCCGTCCAAGGGCCCTCGTTGTGGTTTACGGGCTCTGACCACAGGCTGCGCCAGAATGCGACCGTGTCGGCCTGATTTGGTGCAGGGCCCGTTCCACTTACTATTGGTCGCTCCAATGATTTATAGAGCCTCTTCTGATCACTCTGGAAGAGACGATTCTGGTTGAACCATGTCGACCTCTCTGCATATCGCCGAATCCGCTTTCCTCAAGCAGCTATTCTTTGCTTCAGGTCGTCTATAAGCTCCGTCAGTTTTTATATTATATCCGGCTGGGACAAACTAACATTTGTCCCAGCAAACGCCATCCTGACGGTGCGCACAATCCTTGGCCTGGTATTGCCTGACCTGAAGCATATCAGTCTGCCGATGAGGGCCCTTGCCTTTGCGATACGTTCTTCAATTCTTATTCTCCAGGCTGGGATAGCACTACTTTGTCCAGTAGCGCGTCCAGCCATGGAAAGTTTGGCGTCTATAATAGGGCAGACTGCCAGTGCGGCGCCAAAAAGAATTGAGTCCGTCTCGCAAAGGTCCCGGCTGGCTTCCAAATAGGTAACCAGCATTGGGTTCACAGCCCTCACGACAGCCCGATTCCGCTTGCTTAGGGCTAAGCGGGGGAAGTCGCGGTCGATTTTCGAGAGGTTACTGAGCGTTTCCACAATCGCCTCCTCCAATGTACTCCTCATTTGCTCTAGTTCCAGTTCCTGGGCGACTGTTCCATCATCGTTTGAATCAACCACAACTGGCATATTCACGGCGGCATCCACATTTATTTTTATTATTATAATTATTATTAAGTACCTATTGAAATATCTGAAATATATTATATTTAAATACAAATAGTTATTTGTAAACATAAAACTATTATTTATGAAGGTCTGATATTCTTTAACACTGTTTTGATTGTTTAAAAATTTTGAAGACCTTTGATGTTTCATTTATAGTTTAAATACTAATTTTAGTATGTAAATATTTAAATTAATATCTATTGAAATTAACATTATTATTCCATATAAAATTTTAATAATTCATGTAATTAGTTTAATATTTTATGCAGTAAGTTTTGCTTACTTTCATTCGAATGTTGCTTACAGCGCTATCCTTCGACAGACTCTCTGGACTTGCTGAAGTCAGTATGGCCATATGAGCGCAAATCACCATCTATCGGCAATAATAGGCAAATATTAATATTTCAATGTAGGCAAATTGCCATCTATCGATATTAATTGATAAATATATATATTTATGTTTTAGTTAATCGTTTACGTCAATTTATTATAATTATTATTAAGTATTGCAACATCTGAAATATATAATATTTAAATACAAATAGTTACCTATTTGTAAACATAAAACCATTATTTCTTAAGGTCTGATATTTAGTAAAAACTGTTTGGATTGTTTGAAAATTTTGAAGACGTTTGATTTTTCATTTGTTGTTTTTATACTAATTTTAGTATGTAAATGTGCAAATTAATAACTATTAGAATTAACATTATTATTCCGTATCAAATTTTATTATATATTTATTAATTTATGCAATAAATTTTGTTTAATTTCATTCGAATATTGCTTGCAGCGCAATCCTTCAACAGACTCTGGACTCGCTGGAGTCAATATGGCCGTATGAGCGAAAATCGCCATCTTTCGGCAATAATAGGCAAATATTGATATTTATATGGCGGCATATCATCATTTATCGGTAGTAATTATATCTATGTATAAAACTTTTTTCACCACCCGCGTACTTATTAATTTACACTGATAGCATAAGCTAGTGTTGTCGAGTGTACCGATTTTTGTGGGACGTCTCGATTTTTAGAGCTATGTCCCGATTCGCTATTGATCGGGAGACCAAATGTCGCGAATTTTTACTAACCTCTCTAGTCTATATTTCGATCGATCATTTGATATAAGAATTGAGCTTATATGTAAGCTGCTACTACATTAAAATACTTTTGCTTTACATTTTTTCAAACCAAACTCGGACTAAATATGCAACATCAAAGTTTCCTTTGCGCGTAATGTAATACGTGATTTATATAAATAAATAATTTAATTTAAACAAGCATTAGTTTTACATAGTCTGTTGAATGGTGGCGTTGCAAGCAACATTCGAAAGAAAGTAAGCAAGACTTATTGCATTAAATAATTAACTTATAACACGAAATAATAAAATTTGATACGGAATAATAATGTTAATTCAAATAGATATTTATTTGAATATTTACGTACTAAAATTAGTATTTAAATATAACAAACGTCTTTTCATCAATAAATATAACATCAAACGTCTTCAGAATTTTCAAACAATCAAACAGTGTTTACTAAATATCAGACCTTAAGAAATAATGGTTTTTATATTTACAAATATCTATTTGTATTAAAATATTATATATTTCAGATATTTCAATACTTAATAATTATTATAATAAATTCGCGTAAACGATAAACTAAAACATAAATATCAATACTTGCCTATTATTTGCCGATAGATGGCGATCTGCGCTCATACGGTCAAACTGACTCCAGCGAGTCCAGAGAGTCTGTTGAAAGATGTCGCTGCAAGCAAGAGACCAGGCCTTAACTGTTCTGGAAGCTCTTGGTAAGGAAGTGACTTATGAGCAGCTCCTTGAGGCATTGGAGGCGAGATATGGCGACGCTCACCTGGAACACGTCTTTCGTGCGCAGCTTAAAGATCACGTGCAGAGCATCAACGAACACCCGTAGCAATGGGCTCTAGAGGTGGTGCTATGGGTGCTGATGTTGCTGCTAATAACTACTTCTAATCAGTACAGTAGCCTACCGATTGCATATCTAAAAAATAAAGAAAAATATATAATGACGGCGCATCTGTAAAATACTGGTTGAATCGAGAGAGCGGGATATTGAGTAAATCTAGCGGAGCACCATTACAATGTGGCGGAACAGAATTGAGAGTTCTACCCCCAATTTTGCCCCGTCACCCGTGGGGGTGTCGTTAGTGCTGTATAAAGTTCAGTCGTGCAGTTTCTACGAGTGCTACTCATAGAATGAGTATAGTGATTGTTTCCGTCGAAGTAACTTTTAGTGCACTTAACGAAGATTGTATTACTAAGAGAATGATCTGTGATCGAATGAGATGCGTAGTGTTGCTGTTGATTTGCACACTTTGGTGTTATCATATAACTACGTCCCTCCTGTAATAACTTTAGTGTACTACTGTGTGATTGTAATGGGGAATCAAAATGCAGATGCGTTGTCACCCTTGAGGACTAAGATGGAATGCCTCGTTTCCAGTAAAAAGGGTCTCCGGTTCTTTACACTCACCATACGAAACACAGCAGCATTAAGCTACTTTTTACTGCAAATGAGGCATTTTATCTCATATACGTGGTAGAGCCATGCTGCAGTTATATTAGTAGTATAGTTGTAGCATGAATGGGTCGGCTCGACCGGGGAAGGACCACGCTCTCACAGAATACCAGTGTGAAATAGTAGCTTAACGCTGCTCTGTTTCTTATGGTGAGTGTAGAGAACCGGAAACCCTTTTTACTGGAAACGAGGCATTCCATTTTAGTTCTCACGGGTGATAACGCTTACTATCAGGTGGACTGCGTGCTCGTTTGTCACCCTATATTATAAAAAAAACCTCAGGGGTCACGTCGCAACTGCATTTTGATTCTTAATCGATAATATATGTAGATGTTTAAGGGCCACAGCATCCACTTACGACCAAGTAGACAAGGTGTTTCCTGACCACGGGGTACTACTACTGGGAACTTCTTGATCGAAAAACTCATAAAGTTATTTCTTTTAGCCTAAACCAGGATTCAAACTCGGGATCTCACGATACACCAACGAGAAGCCATATGCGTAAGAGAATATGGAGTGGCACTGTGTGCGCATACATTCGTGCACTTCTTACCACCCGTCAAGTGTAATATCCCTCTAAAAGACGCAGAAAAGTAGAAGCTCGATTGTGAATGTGGTCTTGATGATCCTGTACTGCGCAGATGCCTATTCTTCATTGAGGCTGGCCACCGTTACTAAGATTCAGTCTGGAGGACGATTTTTATATATATATATATATATATATATATATATATATATATATATATATATATATATATATATTATTCTTATATTTCAATATTCTAAAGAAGTCAGTCAGTGAGAGCTAGCGCTCTCACTACCTTTTGACTACTATGGCAGTTCCTGCTCTTCTGTATTGCGATCTGGAGCGTATAGAGAACCAGAACCTATCCAGATGAAATCCTAAGCAGGAAAGGACATCTGTCACTTAGAAACATCACGTCCAGGTCTTTTCCCTTAATATGAATAATTGCGTTGTACACCACATGTGCACGAAGATTTATTAAGTCACATTAATAACTAATTTTGAGAAGTTCATTTGTTACTCACATAAATTGTATAATCTATTTATACAATATTATACAATCCAAGTTTCGAGACTATCTCTCAATATTTACTTTACCTTACTAACGATGTTTGCCAACCTGTTAATTCAACCTTTGAGACTGTTAAGGGTAATTGATAGAGAGGTTGTCTATGCTACCTACGCGAAGCAATAGAAGGATTTAACAACTTTTATCGACATTTATGACTATATATTTAAGAAAAATTATATAAATATAAAATTGACGTCCAGAGTAGGCCTCTTAGCACGCGTTTTTTGAACTACTGAGCTACAATATGTATATAGACATAAAATTCCTCCGGTAATTTACTAGTTTAAATGACTAGTCCTTGGCTGTTCTTCGTGGAAAATATTGTTCACAGCGTGATCCTACCGCAGGTCAGCTCACTATAAGTGCTGCGGCCATATTTCAGTTTCATTGAGGCTTTACAATACAAATATATCCTTACTATTATGGGATTCGGTAGTCACGCTTGCTTCTATTATCTTAAATAGAGATGTGTCTATAAGTATTTTAAGTCTTGAAAATATTATCCCGCTTGAAATAATAAAACAAGCAAGTTTAAGACGGGAAAGCAAAAAGATCCATATAACCAAAATACACAATTTAGCAGTTCGGGCAACATCAAAACTCACTTTGGTCAGAAATGTTTTATAGGCCCGGTGTGTTAATGTTTTCAGCTAAAACCATTATTTATGTTTTAAATTAATCCATATTATATTTTTATAAAGAATAAATAACTAAATCAGATAAAATAGTTATTATCTTAAAATTTTTAATGCTAATGATATCTATCATATTGGTTTCGACATCAGCAATATCTTTCTAAATTGCCCGAAATGAGGGGAAAGAAGGTAGTTGCCATATTTGCCACAATTGCCAACTGCAGTTCTTACTGTAATTTGGAAGTTGATTCTGTTCCTCTACTGTTTCTATTTCTCTCTGTCGAATCCTTACTAACGACACAACTAAGACGATAGTGGGTACGTTGTGTCTTAGTCGGCTGTGGTCTGTGAGTCAGGTACCTCGCCGCGTTCGGTCGCCTGCGACCCAACAGTGAAGTGCAGTAGTTCGTTTGAGCCCATGTGCTCCCAGTACGTTCAATCAAGAGAGAAGACAAAGACATTTTTACCTGCGTGCGCGAGTGCTTCAGTGTCGTTGTGCTCTTTTACGACCGCCAGGTACATCGGGCCGCCGGCCCATTGTTCTGTTTGTGTGTAGTGCTAGTTTAGTGCCCCACGTTCTCCGGATTTCCAGTAAAAACTGTAAGTAGTTTATTACACACCCGCTGCCTCAGAGGTAGCAATTCTATTTTTAAATTTCTGTGT